GAAGAGATGGAAAACAAAGACTTTTCTTCCCTAGTCTTTTTGTCTCGTTTTTCACTTCAGTTTTCTCTTGGAGTGAGCGCTGCATGGGAACATTATACGCTTCCTGACTGTCTTGGAAAATACCTTTGAGCCAACGTTCAATATTATATTAGGTTTCGGCAGACAGAAAGGATAGTGTCAACTTTGAGTATTTTCTTAGCTAGTTCACGTTATTGAATCACTTTGTGGAGCTCTAAATACCACAAATGAAAGATGAATCATCTTCAAATGAGATGCTGGATTTTTCTTAACTTTCTCCCTTTTTTTTCATGGAAAATAATACTCATAGTAACAAAACTACTTCACTCCCTCTCTAATCCACTCTGCTTTTTCATGCCACAGTCATTCAGACCACCGAATAACTCTTAGGTGCGTTTGATTTTTAATAACACACCACCTCTAGACTCAGGAATGCGTTAGATCCATAAAGACAAAGGCGTGGTATGAAAAGAGTGAGGCGCTAAGCTGACTGACGGCGAGAGTCAATGAGCAGTTTCTGATCATAAATCCTGCTAATGAACTCTGAGTTGATGATTTAAAGGGAAAGTCCGCTGGAAAGTAAAGTTCTTGTTATGATCTCAACTTTAAAGCGTTTTGCTCTTTTCAGTATGTAATGTGGTGCAGTCGTCCAACCACAGCGGCGCTCCAGGAGACAGTACACCCTCCACTTAATAGCTCTCTCACACACATGGAAGAACACACCCGTTCACATATGAGATCTGCAGAAAACATTAGCCGCTGCATTGCCAGTATTTCTCAAGCTAAAATGAAGGAGGCAGATGTAAGGGGGATCGGCCATTGTGTGTTATGACATCCAAATGATTTATTCGTCTTGGAGCTCTGCAGAAAAACCGACATGAGACACATATTTTATATAGCATCCAATAATCAGGAGAATAAAGGAATAAAGGGCAGTGGTATTAACTCCTGTTGTTGAGAGATTTAGTTTGATCTTGATTTGAAACAAGAAAAACAGTAACAAAAAAAGAAAAATACAAAAAGTGAAACTAGCTTATTGATATATGAGAAGTGACTTTATTTGATTGTCTAATTCTGGGTTAATAACAGCATTTAGAACTTTATCAATAATGTTAAAAAATATACAATGGGTAGCTAAGTTGGAACAGTTGGAATATAGGTTTGTGTGCATGTAAATGGTCTGCAAAGGCTAACATCCCTGTATTTCCTCCAGATGGAGTTTCTCTCACACACACAAACGCCTCCATTGGACTCCTTTGTTTATTTCTGTAACACATTGACATCACTATGCAACACTGGCGCTTTTATTGGCTACTATTCCAACACAATGTACGTGCTAAGGGGCGGGATCTATCTAAGCGGTTGACCAATCACACCGGAGCCGGCCAGCTAACCAATAGAGTGGCGAAGTCCCTCCCCTTCCGGTGGACCTCCATGGGACCTTATTTCGGAAAAAGTATGTATTGAAGTCAATGGGGAGAGAAAGATTGTCTTTCGATCCCGTTTGAATTGTGCCACGAATTACACATATGATGTTTGTCAATTTAAAAGATAATTTTGCAAGTCAAAAAAAAAAAGATGTGTCGTAAAACTGTGAAGTAACACATTTGTTTGTGTGAAACGCTCAATGAACTACATCTCTGGTCTCACAGAGCAACACACATCACCAAGATGGCCGTCACTACTGTCTTGTCAACAAAACGATTGACTACCCTCACTATCACCACAATGAAACACGTCCTGAAGAATGTCATGCAAAGCTGCCTGCCTGCCTTCCTTTGATTCTCTCTGAACTGCCTGGTCGTTTTAATGTTTAATGTCAACCATTTGTGCAGATAGCATGAAGTAGAGAAGATCGCCGATGCTAGCGTTAGCGTTAGCATTTCTCCCCCGGGCTTAAATTGTGTATTATGGAATGATCACACCGGTGACAGTACTATTTAAAGGGTTCACGAAATATGACTACTACTCTTACTGTTTAACATTTTGGGTTACTTAATGTTACTTCATGTTAAGGCTAATAAAAATGACAAGGCTGTAATGCTAACTAACGTGCTAGCTACTAGCTAGCTTGATCCAGACACTCCTGGTCCTTTCATCAGACGGGAAGCGAAAGAACGAGCAAGACCCATTGCTGGTATGATAACAACCTGGTACTAAGCACACAGGCATCTTGTTAAAGTTATCTTATCTTAGCCAGCTGCCAGCTGATCTTAGCTATCTCTTAGTGGAGGAAAACAATTGTGACATCACTTACGCGACTCTGGGATTTGTAGTCTTTCTAGTTGCGTATTTTTCATAGTCTTATATTTCAACAGTTTTACGACAAACTGTGACTTTTTTGACATGGAAATGATTTTTTAAGATTGACAAACATCATATGTGTAATTCATGGCACAATTCAAACCGGATCGAAAGATAAGTTTTCTCTCTCCATTGACTTCAATACATTATTTTTCCGAAATAAGGTCCCATGGGTCGGAAGTAGATGGGCAGGACTTCGCCACTCTATGAGAGCAGACGCCAATGCAATGGTTTTTTAAACAGCACTTTCAGAAGTTGGTCTGATTTGATAGAAGTCTATGAGAAAATTAGACTACTTTTTATTTATTTATTACCTCATTAAACATTTTCCTAATGAGCTTTTGGTCTTGATTGCTATTTTCAAGTTTTCTTCAATAAAGTGTAATGTTTATTTTTTAAATGATGTTCCAATTTTAGAGTACAATAAGGATAACCCTGTAAATTGTTTATGGCGGGGCTACCTTGTGAAGTGTTGTCCCGGTCTGGGTGTTGTCCCTTTATCTTCCTAAACTTGTACCCTAAAAGTTAATTAGAACATTTTAGTGGCATAACACTAACTTTAGCTGTACTCCACCCTCTTGTCTTGGGATGTCATTGACAAACTCAAGGGCTTAAAAAGCATTGTTCACAAACTAATGGCTGCTGTCACAGTGACTATGTCCACTTCTTATGTCGTTTTTGAATGTTACTTTAGATAATTAAGTGGGTTCCAGATTTTAATTTTGGGAAAGAGAAAACAAGGGTATGAGATTGACGCTCTGTTTCTGCAGAAGCTGGTGTTTGTCAGGATTGTAGAAGGAGGTGTGCTGGCAGCTGTGTATTGTACTTTGCACTATGTTTCATGTCATCAAAGTGACTTCATTTCACAAACAGATCTCTTTCTCACGGCCCGCGCCCCTGACTCCACCCATAACATCTGTAATATGATTCCCTTATTTTCCTTTTTGTTCATTAGCATTGACCCTGACCGTTCTTCATTCAGACACCTTTTCATCCAGACGGGGCCTCAGCCCAGACTTTCCTTACAGTGCGTCCTCTCTCCAGTCTCTGTGGGTTCAGATTGTGTAATCACGTTTGGAAAATACTTTATTTTCCTGACTTTCTGTCTGCTATCCTTATTTTCAACCCCCGCATCTTTCCCAGTTTCCTCTCGTTCTAAATCCAGTACTGAGACGAAATCTGAACCCTGGAAACAAGCTCTTAAATGTTCCGCCTCCACAGTCTGTTCTGCTCACCTTCTTTTCTCCGCCATGCCTGAGACTTCAGTCTGATTCTGCATGTTGCTGCCTGCTCTCAGTCCTGGCGGTTAAAGACCACTGTCACATGCTGTTAGGCAGTGAAAGGCTGCTTCTGAAGTATCCATTTTGCTTCAGATTTAAACATTTTAACCCACCAGTCGGGTGTTTCATTGATGTCCTTTTAATTTTCCTGCCAGACTTTCACTATGCAAGGATGTCCCTGCTGTGTTTAAAGTGATCTTGTCCCCCAATTACGCCACAGCCCAGACTCCCTGGCAGTCCATGTCTAATAACTTCCATGTGCATACACTTGGCGCAGCAGCAAAAAGAGGCCTCCTATCCTATTTCTCCTCACCTCTTCTCTCCTCTCCTCACCTCTCGCCGTCTCCCTCACCCCTCCTCTGTCAGGATGAGGTTTTGTGTGCGTGTTAAAGCTCAAACTTCACCGATTAGCAGATCGAAATGGCAACAAGAAGTACCAGCTTGAAAAAAGTGAAGATGCTAAATGTACCTCTGTTTAGAAGTGTTTGTTGTCTTATGGTGCTTAATTGGAATGCAGATAATTACCTGAGCATTGTCAAAGCAGTCGACTGGTTGTAAAGCAAGTTGTTGTTAAAGTCATAATATTTTTGTTTAAAACTTGAGAGAAACTCCCTCTGGAGGGAACTTTGGGATCTTTTTAACCTACATTTTAAGAAGGAAATTTTTCTCAGGGATAATGGCTCAGGTATCCCAAAAATGTTGAATGTATGTGTAATCTCACATACTATGAATGCCGACATGTCGTGGACTTTAGTAGTGCTATAGTAGCATTGTTTGGTTTCAGTTTTTTCTTTTTCTCTGGATTCCTTCCCTGCAGTTTCCCCCACAGTATTGCTCGCTCTCAATTTCCTCTGATTGTTCTATTGTGGATATTTCAAAAACAACTGGACTCAACAAAAGCTCAATGGGAGACCCCATAAAACGGCCGTGAATACTGTACTTGCCATGAATCTCTCTCCAGCTAGCTGCTTTCCCATGCATTTCTAGATCTCTCGCATATGTCAGAATAAAGCTGTTGAACAGATCCATGGCTCTACCTGCTGCTGACTGGCTGGAGGGACCTCTTAGTCTGTTAAGCTGATGTGACTTTTACAGTGGTACAGCTCAAAGTGAATCATGCCACAAACCTTTTTATTTTGTCTGTCTGCCGTATTTGTGTGATATATAACACTAAATCATCAGCCTGAGTCTCTCCCTCGGGTGAATGGATACAAAATCAGCAATTCCACTCAGACGAGACTCATTAATAACTTCCTTTTTTTGTGTTTCATAACTTCTTATTTACTTATGATGTTCGAGTGTGTGTAAGCCTTTCCTTTTCCTCTCAACAGATGTGATTCATAGCTCTGAACTGCTCACCCCTCGGTATGACAAATCTCCCCCTGTCTCTCTCTGCAGTTGTGTGTCCCCTGACGTGTATGAATGGAGGAGTTTGCAGCTCGAGGAAGCACTGCCTTTGCCTGCCTGGCTTCACCGGGCGGCTCTGCCAGTTTCCACTCCATCACACGCAGCAAGCTCAGGCAGCGCGGGGCAACAAGCAGCCCATCTACCCCCTATCTTTGAAGCCAGACATCCATAAGCAACTGGAGCATTTAAGCATATCGCGTACACAGTTGATGCAAACCCACTCAGTTTTCACCCTACCCATGTCACACTCTTCTGAAGGTATCTATCATTCAATAATACAGATAATGTTAGAGCTTTTGCATCTTCCAATTTGATTTAGTTAATGATTAAATATGTGTTTGTGATGCATTTTGTTCTCCCAATGTCTTCTTTTCCTATGTTTTCAGTGCAGTTAAATGTACGTGTTCACCACACGCCAGACACCTCTGTAGTCATTCAAGCTCTCGACCAATCAGATGTCAAGCCTCCTCACAAGACAGGGCCTCGTCCGATCCCCTCCAGACACAAACCGAAGGGACGCTGCTTCCAGGAGACCACACCCAAACAAGCTGTGAGTTCACGCTGCAGTCATAGACAAAGTGAAAAGGTCTTTTATTATTTTTATTTCCACTAATAGCATTTCTGTCTCGTCTCGCTTTAGTGCAACAGCACCCCACTTCCTGTTCTGACCAACCAGGAGGATTGCTGCGGCAGCGTCGGGAATTCATGGGGACAACACAAGTGTTACCAGTGCCCCAAACTGCCAAGTGAGTTACAGTTTGGTTTGAGGAATTCATCTTTTGTGTACCTTTTAAATTTCAAGCTACTCTGATTCACTTTTTCCAGCTGTTTGGAAGTTTACACGATCTAGTTGTTTTATTCCAATGTCAAAGAACAGCAAATTGTTTACTGAAAGAAGTCCTTTGTTGTTTTTTATCCGGTCTACATCTCGTGTGTTCCTGGGAATACATTATTGTTTATTGAGCCAAACATTTCAAACATTCCCTGCAATTGATCCATTTCAGCTTATAAAATGATGGCCCTTGATTAAAACAATTTTCATACCTATAAAAATATGAACATGAAAGTTAGTGGTGAGGCGGGGTAGGGTGTGTGTGAACGGTTGGGAATGAAAAAACCGGAGAAATTACGGGAATTACACACAGACGGTGAGACAGAAAAAGAGAATGTGGAAAATAACCCTCCACTTAAGCGTGTTCCTTTGGGCCTGCCCAGTGCAGGACTGTCATCACATTGCTGGAGATTGGATTTCAAGAAAATCTTGGCTACTCACGTTTTTCCACTCCGCTATTATTCCGTCTCTCAGTTCTGACTCACACAATGCAGCCTTTGACAAAACCTGATATACTGTACGTCTGGTTAGTCTTCAGACAACTGGATTCCTGCCCGGAGTAATGTCTGTTTTGTTACATTCATTGAAAATGGTTGATGTGATCTTTACCCTCTTTTCTTTGGCCTTTCACGATGTGTGTGTGGGTGCAGGCTTCCCACAGCGCTCTAATAAAACTGCCTTACATGTTTTTACTCCCTCATGGAGAGAAGAACAACAGTGTTAGATGTTCAAAGCTCATTTAGGGTTAGAATAATAACATAATATTGCATTGTTAGTTCAAACCTCATGAAAGACTTTCCTAATCTTTGACAAGCTACATTTCAACAAAGGCCTCATTAAAGCTGGCATTATTAAGTACAAAGAAAGGCAAAGACAGAAGAAAACAAAACATTTGGTGAAATTGTCCAATCATAAAATCAAGCAGAAGTGCTTATTCACATTTTGGGAGGAGATTTTTAAGAGAATAATGTTGTCATCTAACTCAAGCAAGTGTCTTCTCAAGATGTCAACTATTGCTTGTCAAGGTTGACATCTTGTGAAGCTTCTACACTCAATGAAAAAAGGAATGGGTGCTTGAGAGAGAGGTTCAAGCCTTCTTTTCTTTAACATCTCTGGAAACGTAGCCAGTGATTGTGTAAATTACTTGTTGTTCAATTGTCTGTTTCAGAAAGTTATCAAAATGGTTAGTTTTACCTAAAATGAGTCTATTCAGGAAAACACCATGTGGAAACATCCTGTAAAGTTTTCTGAGATTGTCAAAGCTGAATACTAACAAGAGCTGCAATTCAATATCTATTGTGTTTGTTCAACAACTATTTTTCAAGGGAATTATCGAGTAGAGCTGGTTTGTACGATCCAACCTCAGGCCTCCCCATTACAGAAACTCACTCGCGTTTTTCTCCCCTTCCCCTCCTGTGCTTTGCCTTGTCTTCTACATCCTCAGATGCATCAGTCAAGCATACCATTGTGGAAGAGTACGGCTCCACCTGTCCACAGGGCTATAAAAGATTCAACAGCACTCACTGTCAAGGTAAGGATGAAACTAAAAGCTCTGTAGCAAGTACAGGCTGAGTTTGAGAGTTGTTTCTGCTTTATAGAGGTCCTATTCTGCTAATTATCAGGTTCATAATTGTTTGTTGTGCCTCTACTGTGACATGTATACATGCTTTACTGTTCAAAAAGCTCCCTCTTCTCACCCTCTGTCTGAAACCAGAGCCCAGTCTGGCTGGCTTTGTTTTGATTGGTCAACAAGTTAGAGATTTCCCACCCCTTAGCCTATCATGTACAATGTGTTGAAACGCCAGCCAATAAAAGCGTGAGTGTTACGTAGTGATGTCACTTTGTTACGGAAGAAAACAAAGGAGTTAAAGTCAGGCCATCAGGCAGTCGGGGGAGTGTGTGAGAGAGAAACTCCCTGGAGGGAACTTATGGATTTTAGCAGTGCATGCTCAAAGCCTATATAATGGCGCATTTCCACTACACGGCCTCGCTCGGCCTCGCTCGGTATGGCTAGGCCTCGTTAGGACTGGATCACTTTATGGCGCATTTCCATTACAGTTTAGGAACTGGGGTAGTATCTATAGTAACGCAGTGTAGGCGGAGCCGTGACGTCATCTTCAATGAGAACCCCAGAAAAACAACACAGCCGTTAGCTGTTAGCCCTCAGAGCTCACAGCTCCTCATATATGTTCAGAAACTAGACAAAAGTTAAACAAGTACAAACCACAGACTGTCTGTGTCATGGCGAATACAGTCGCTGCTTTATTTATGTCTGTATAGGCCGTTGTTGTGAGTGTGGACGGTCGGAGCATATACTGCGTTAGCTTAGCCAATCTCCATTTAGAAAACACGCATTTTAAAAGGTTTTTCGCCTGCCGTCTGTCTGCAGACTTGTCAAAGCATTAATTCATGGTTTTTACTAACCGGTATCAGTATGTTGTTACTTCGGCATCATTTTGAAACGTGTATTACAATTCAATCACGGTCAAATATGTCCATCTTGTTGTAGTTGTAGCCCCCTTGCCAGCGATTCTCTCTCTAGTTTAGCATACTCAGCCCGACTCAGCCTCGTTGTCTCTGGCCCTAGAACCACGATTTTATGAGGCCAGAAAAACTGTGAATTAGGACCCGCCGGCCGGTACTAGGCCAAGTGGAAACGCAACCAAAGACGGGCCGCTGACGTCACAGCCCTCTTAAACCGTGCTCCGCGCTGTAGTGGAAACGCGCCATAACACACCCCAGAGAGCCTAATAGGGCCCATTTAATTTTAAAGTCCCGATGTGACAAAGATCTTGTAGCAATAATAAATATTTATATTTAAAAAACCTTTTTCTTCTTTTTTTCTCACCAACCTGGTAGATATCAACGAGTGCTCGATGCAGGGCGTCTGTCAGAACGGAGACTGTCTGAACACACTGGGCAGCTTCAAATGTACCTGCAAGGCGGGTTGGGTGTTTGACAGGAGTCGATGTGTTGGTGAGAAAAGAGGCCTCTCACTGGAAATCCACTTGAATAACATTATAGTTTAGTTCCATAGTGGGATTCCCAAATGATTCCCTTTTGTCTCTCCTGTCAGAGTCCCAAGCTGAGCAGGCTCAGTGCTTCCTGATAGCGTCTGTTGTCCGGGGCTGCGAGCACGCGCTGGCCACGCCCCTCACCCAGGAGATGTGCTGCTGCACGGTGGGAAAAGCCTGGGGCCGCAACTGTGAAAGATGTCCTCAGGTGGGCACAGGTGAGTGGACGGAGAGGAGAGGTTACTGACTGAGAAAATGTCCTACTTATTTTAAACAATTCATCAATCAAACTTCATACATAAAAGGAAAACAAAGTGCTTAAAAAAACTATTCTAACTTCCCCCCTTCCCAGGCACTGAATAAAATAAATAAAATAAATCAAATAAATCAATCAAATAAATCAAATAAATCAAATAAATCAATCAAATAAATCAAATAAATAAAATAAATAAAATAAATAAAATAAATAAAATGAAATAAATGAAATAAATGAAATAAAATAAATACTCAATATGTCGTAATACTGTCCTCTGTCATACTGTTCATTTAAATGGCATATTGGAAATGTTTTGATGTCATATTGGAATATTTATACAATTAATGTATTGTAAGAAACAAGGAAGTTGAGCAATTCAGTAAAAATCTGGAATATCTTTAAACTTGCTTCCCTAAGAATTGAGATTATATAAAAGTGAAATGAATTTATTGTGAACTCCTCTCCTCTCTCCACGTGATGCTCAGTGGCCTTCAGTAAGATCTGCCCTGCTGGGAAAGGATACTTGCTCCAAACTACAATAGAGACCATGGCCTTCCCTCCCATCATCTTCCCCCCTAAGCCCGAAAAGGAGGGTGAGTCCTTAAATATGCCTCACACCACTCACTCTTCTCACCTCTCAAACATTTCTGCTTCTGGTTTGTTTAAGACGGATTATGTATATTAACAGTTGCTATCTCTCATTTATTTTAGATCCACATCCAGAGAAAGTGACTGAACAGCCTCCTACCAGCACTACCAGTCGCCGTGTGCCCGGTAAACTCCCCTCTTCACACTCCATATGGACAATATTAAAAAAAACGCTAAATAATTTATGTTAACTACTGGTGCTTAATGTACTCCACCTGTCAAAATAAGGGGAATGTTTTTGCAACTACTAGTGTAGATAAATGTTCCCCATGTGTGGTGAAGAGAAAAACATCAGGGACTAAAGATCAACATGTCATATTTCCTCCTAAAGTCTGCCCACTTCATCTCTCCTCTGTTGAATCCACAGTTGTTAAACCCACCCCGCCAACAATCGTGAGAATGACCCCAGGCAATGACCCCTTCGAAACACAGACAAAAGTCTTGCGTGAGTTCCTTGCAAACAGACTCAAACATGTATTCTGCTTTAACCTCAGAGAGTTTCTTCTGTAAAGGCTGGTTCATGTTTCATGCGCCTCGAAACTGGAAAACCCAGCTCTCATATTCCCCAGTAAGAGAAGATATTGTGGTCCTTCACTCACAAATGACATGTTGACTTTTTCCATGTAACAACATCATTTATGAAAGCATGCAAAAGAGTTTTTTGGACCTTGAGGCAATGTCTCCTGATAGAAATCAATAAAGCAAGTCTAGCTTAACAGTGAGCAAAGTGTAGTGTGATGCATGCTTCTTAAATCCCTAACAGACGGTTGTGCATGCCTCGTGCATTCAACCATGAAGCATGAATCAGCCTTAAGGCAATGTTCACACTCTTCATGTTTAAGTGTTGACATAACTATTTTTTCGTGCTGGCATTAAGAAGCAGGTTATGTGAGACACTTCATTTTCATAAAAAGAAAAATACATTCTTAATTGAGTGTTGGATTTCTTGTCTTCATCAGCCTCTCTTTGTATTTCTGACTGACACCTGTCATTGGCTTTGATACAAAGAAGCCAGATGCTTTTAAAAACTTGAATAGTGTGAACATGTTAGCAGCTGAGTGTTACCAGCTTTATATATATATTAAATAATGATAATATATATTCCCACATACATCTGCTATGTATCTATATATATGTATGTTTATATAAGATGCATGTGCTCCCTCCTTGAAGCAGAGGCAGATGAATGCAGGCTAAGCAGGAACATTTGTGGTCGCGGGGAGTGTGAGAACAGCCTGAACGGCCACATCTGTCACTGTCACCCTGGCTACCATCTCAACCCGCAGAGGAACATCTGTGAGGGTAAGAGACAATGGTAGAGACACGGTGATGGATAGCAAAGAGACATTTCTCCTGAGGTTTCTAATGCATGGATGTCCCCTGGCAAGCATACTCAGTTAGATATATCATTTATAGAGAAGGGGGAATTGTAAGCAGTGGCTCTCATCCTGTCTACTGGGTTGTATATAGATAGTGCTTTTAGATCAGCATTAAAATACTTGTTCTGGCTCTTGGGTGTAATCACTCTCAGTAATGGTTGTTTTCTGAATCAAAAATAGATAAATTATAAGAAATGCTGTGTTTCGGCTGTGGAGGCCCATTCACTCGTGAAATCAAAACTAAAAGTATAAATAATAATAAAAGCTCCCATGGAGAATACCTCATCTTACGAAAAACAGTAAATGCATTTGGTGGTTTTGAAGTAAGTTTTTGAGGTATAAAACAAGCTCTCACCTAGGACTTGGAGATGCATCATGGGAAATGTAGGATCCAGCGATGACAGAGTCTCTAAGCTGTATTAGAGACTGAAAGTCATCTGCTGCTTTGATTTGGATGGATTTAAGAAGTGTGACCCCTTTTAGAAACACAAATGTTATTTTAAAACAAGAAAGTCATTAAAGGTCCCATGTCATGGCCATTTCTACTGATCATTATTCCATTGTTGAGGTATACTAAAATAGATTTATATTGTGCAATTTTTCAAACTCACATTGGTTTCTCATACAGCATCTCTGTATAGTATGTGTATTCACTCTCTGTCCTAAACGGCTTGTTGGAGCTCCTGCCCCCCCCCCTCCCTGTGAGCCCAGTGGCCGTCTGCGAGACAGCGAGACACAGCGAAACCCAGCCCGAACACACACACACCCGCAGCCTGGCTGGGAGTTTGTGTGTGTGCCCAGGCTGAGTTCCGCGGTGTCTCGCTGTCTCGCCGACCCCACACCAGTGAGCCAGCTCACAGTGTCCCGCTCCTCGCAGCAGCGAGCCTCGCAACGTCCTGCCAAGTGTGTGTGTGTGAGGAAGTCCGCGGATTGGTCCGCGGAGCCGTTACGTTACGTTACGTCACTATACCCGAAATACGTCACTATACCCAAGAAGTAAACAATGGAAAAAGAGAAATGTCCAACGAGGCGTTTTGGGGCAGCATAGACAGGTATTTTCTGTCTTAGAGTTTTACTCGCTACAGGGTGTACTTTGAGGGTTTGTGACTCTGCAGACTGTTTACATAACACACAAGGGGACGGGTAATAACCAGAAAAGCATGACATGCGACCTTTAAGACATAAATCACATTTATAGTTAAACAGTGAATTCATTTCTTTGACAGCTGTAATTTGATTAGTTAAACATAACGTCCCAGCATGTAAAATTCCTACAAGACTTAAGCAAATAGAATTACAGTTTTGACTGATAATGCTTCTTCTTATGTCTTCTTAGAGTGCAATATATTACTATTTAAACTTAGCTGTGTGTTTTTTATAACATATGTGAATGGATCCGGTAGTAGGTAAGAAGTACTTGATCTAATACATGACACATACATAATCACTGAAGAAACAATGCTACAGTCGGTGCTTAAAAACACTTCCTGGAATCGGGGCATTGTTTCCCCTGAGCTCTCCATCCATCTGTTTTCTGTCTAAAGTATTCAGCATTTTTTTCATCATGTGTCATCATCGCCCTTCTCTCCTGTTGTCCAGATGATAATGAATGTGATTCAGAACCGTGCGGCCACGGCAGAGGCCTTTGCGTCAACATAGAAGGATCTTACAAATGCCACTGTCGTCAGGGCTATAAACACATGGTGCAGCATGGGAGACTCAAGTGCGTCGGTAAGTCAGGTTGGCTAACTTCCATGTTAAAATGTTTTGATAAAATTAGATCCTGCATTGGCTCTATACTTGCTGTTTTACAGACGTGAATGAATGCTCCAAGCAGGACATCTGTGGTGTTGGGGGAAAGTGTGTGAACCTGCCCGGCTCTTATAAATGTGAATGTCATGGCGGCTTCAGGAGCAAGTCCCACCGTCAGCCAGCATGTGAAGGTATAAGACACTGATTATTAAGACAGCTGTGATATCAGTGCACAGGCTTTCCACCTACAAAACACCTATTATTCAGTGTGTCACTATAACATGCTTGCGTCTGGTCTCTGCGTGTGTGCTTGTCAATACTTCTTCAAATCATGGGTTTGTGACACTTCTTCCCACTTATTTCAGACATTAATGAGTGTTTGAGCCCTGACACGTGTCCCAATGAGCAATGTGAGAACACACCAGGCTCATATGAGTGTGTTCCCTGCTTGCCTGGACACGAGGCCCGCGGGGGCATCTGCTATGGTGAGTGCATCCCTGCCGTTCAGCAACATTCATCACTTATTAGCTGTTTTTTATTCTTCATGTGTTGTTTTTTGAGGGGCACTGCCACATTTAGGGCTTTACTATCATGCTTAGCATTTAAACAAAAAATGTACTTGCTCCATCAGCGGATGGTTTTGCTTTTAAATCAACCCATTTTGTTATCTGATTGGTAATAGTCATAAAAAAGGGCTCTGTGGGAAATGGACATCACTGATTTATCCACCCAAAGATACTCATTAGTTACAGAGCAGGATAAATCAGTCAGTTTATCAGTATGGTGTAAGGCATATAACAGGGATTCTATTTTAAAAGAAAATGCTATACCTTAAAATGTTATGTAAATATTGCGCATTTTACGGTTACACATTTGAACTTCTTCAATGGTTTAATGCGCTGTGAATATTGACATCATGTAGGGTTTGTTAAGACTTTATATGGCCATAATCCAGACAAAAATCTGGTTTTCATGTCTCGTTCATTCAAAGATTATTATTAAGGCATTATTGTCATATGCACGATGGCTACAGTGTAGTTTTGACAATGACATCTAAAGTGCCAGGCTCTTTTAACAATGCAACATAAATATACGTAAGACATACAACTTTATACACTTTTTTCAGAAATAAAATAGTGCAAGAGAATGTTGCAAGTAGCCAATATGCAAGTACATTCAGAAATAACATGTAAATAAGAATAAGTAAAACAGTAACTGTACATTGCATTAAAATACTGCTTATTGTAATAATAAATAAATAAGTAAGTCAGCTGTTTTCTTTTTTTAATTTAACCTGGAAAAATCTAATTGAGATTAAAATCTCTTTTAAAAGGGAGTCCTGGCCAAGAGGGGCAGCAGCATAGTTACAACAAATTAAAAATAACAGAGAACATATCATAGTCATAATCAGAAACATCCTCATACAAAGCTTCTACAGACAGAGTTGCCTGCTTTTTGATCATTAAGTAGTTCTTGCATCTGCTAAGAGAGACCGGCCCCCTGAGTTTCAGCTCATATTACAGCTGGTTCCAAGCAAATGGAGCAGCATAACTAAACACTGTAAAATATGAATGCTGTAATCTGCTTCATTTTCCACCAGACATTAATGAGTGTCAGAATCCTGGCATCTGTCCTAACGGCCGCTGTGAGAACCTCCCTGGTTCGTACCGCTGCATGTGCAACGAGGGCTTCTACAATACAGACAGCAAAGGCTGCAGTGGTGAGTAAACCTAACCTTTACATCACATTAACCTGACGTTACATGCTGTTTGGTGCTGAAGTTGTAATGAGGGATTTTGAATCACTAGTTTTTGGGAAAATACTGAATGTACTCTTTCAATAGTAGCACATGATAACAAAGGCCCTACGTAGCTGTGTACATGACAGGATGTATGATTACCTAGAAGAGCATCAGGACTGCTTTTAGGAATATGATAGCTAACACGATTAACATGATGATTCAGCTGAAACTGAACTAAACATTGTATACTCCTTTGAACCGGTATTCCTCCACCTTGTGACTGTGTAACACCCTCTCTTGTATATAAGCATGTGAAGGACACTGTTCAGCTAGTTGTCCCATATGCTCTGTATGTGATGACTACTTCCATTCTTGCAAGGATAATAAATACATGTATCCTGATTATTGAAACTCAAGCCGGTGACGAGTGATATTTTTCTAACGCTAGTTCAAAGTTCACACATTTTGCCTTCTCCCAAACAGACATTGATGAGTGTGAGGACTCCAGGCTGTGTGCTAACGGCCGCTGCATCAACACAGAGGGGTCCTTCCAGTGCCAGTGCCACCCGGGGTACCAGCGCACACAGGAGGGCAGCCACTGCGAAGGCATGAAATATTCAACAAACCATTTATTTTAATAGTGTTCATGCATTAGTGGAAAACAGAGTACATTACAGTACAGTACTGTACTTAAGTACAATTTTGAGGTGCTAATACTTTACCTGAGTATTTGAATTGTATATTGCCTTATAATTCTACTCCACTACACCCTAGAAGACAATTTTGTACTTTTTATTCCAGTACATTTATCTGACAGTTTTAGATTTAGATTATATAGAGATTCAGATTATAATCTAATACAATATAAATAAACACTTTGCTGCCAGATTATATGTTAAAATACCCAGCAGCAGGGTATAAAGTAATACAAAAATAGATCTGTCTTTACCAGCTAGGATAAACACATTAATGAACCAATAGCCATAATCCAGTCATATGATATTTATGATTCTGAAATGGGCCTTAAAGCATAATGAATACTTTTACTTTTGGAACTTTAAGTATATGTTGACGCAAATACTTTTGTACTTTTTGAATGGAGCCCTTCAAGGTTCAAGGTTCAAGGTTCTTTATTTAGTCATACGAACATAGATACAGTGTAGTTATGCCGATGAAATTCTTAGGTCACAGGCTTCTCCAACAGTGCAACACAAAACACAGATAAACAGAAAAATATAAGTAAATAGTAAATACAAAAAGAAAAATAGTTTAAAGAACCAGGCCCGTGAACGAGTATTTTTACAATTTTATATTGCTACTTTTACTTAAGAAAAATATTTGAGTACTTCTTACACTACTGTTACACTACACTACACATGGAACAAAAATGCAATACTTAAAGCACGAAACTGGTTTTACTCTTGATAAGTAATCAGCACAGGGCTATCTAAACAGAGTGTGAGTGAGTGCAGATCGGTTTGGATCCATTCGTAATATCCTGCTCACATTCCCACATTGTTTTTGTTTCCTTCCCTTCAGATATCAATGAGTGTGAGAGGCCATCGAACTGTCAGAGGGGCCGCTGCATCAACAACATGGGCTCGTACCACTGTGAGTGCCAGAAGGGCTACACACTGGTGGGAGGAAGGAGATGCCAAGGTCAGCCTCTACACATCTTATTCGTTACCTCTTTATTATATTATAGGATGTATTCTATTGTTTTGCTATTAACATGCAACAAATCACATTTTTTATAATCTCTATCTTTTGAATTATCATTGTTTTGCATCGTCACGCTTATTTATGCAAAGTTTGTTATTTTTGTATTGCCACATAAGTTGAGGCATAGCACCAAAAATTGCTGTGGATATTTTAAGAACAAAACGAACAAAATCTATTTGTTTGCAACTCAGATGGTGTTTGAATTTATACAAATACCCAGAGCGCCATGTGTGATTTCCATTACAGACATAGACGAATGTGCCGAGGACAGGAGTCTCTGCAAGCCCTTCGGCTCTTGTGAGAACAGACCGGGCTCGTATTTGTGCGCCTGCAACCACGGCTTTGTGCTCTCAGAGGACAAACACAGCTGTGAGGGTAAGCCTGCTCTGAATCCTCCCGTCTTACTGCAGACCCACATTTATCCCGGAGCTTAAACCAGGCCTGAACATTATATCCCTGCTTGTTCCAAACCCAAAACACTTTGGTTCAAACCAATCTGAAGGTCTGATAGTCAAACTATTTTTAATAAATGGTTATATATTGTCAAATCGTATATTCTACTGTATATAAACTAACTCTCAAACTTAACAATAATTAAAAGAAAGCCCAGCTTGGTGAGCCCTTTTCAGTCCAGTTCAGTCATTAGTTGTGGACAAACAATCCTCTGTTTCCTAACGTTCATCATGTTTGCTCCGCAGCAGTTCGAGTGCAGGTGGATGAGAAGAAGGAATGCTACTTGAACCTCGACGACACTGTGTTCTGCGACAGCGTCCTGGCCACTAACGTCACCAAGCAGGAGTGCTGCTGCTCCATTGGAGTGGGATGGGGAGACCACTGTGAGGTCTACCCCTGTCCTGTCTCCCGTTCAGGTACAGTTACAGTACAGAGTGCATTGTGGAAGTAAAAACACATTCAACTAAGTTATAGGTGGGCTTGAAGTTCAGTGTGTTGACAGGGTTCCCGTGGATCATCCAAAGGTCTTAAAAGTCATTTCAATAACCTACGTAAATAAAAATAAGAAAATCCATCTTTAATCATTAGTCATGTGAAGTAACATTTTATAGATCGTTCTTTTTTTAATGGTTCATTGTAAAATCTCAAAATAATTCTTTTTCTATTTTTATAATTTATCTAAAGCCTCTCCCATTAATATAAAGCAGATCCATAAGGTGGCAATACAAAGTCTTAAAAAATGTCTTGAATCTAACTTGTCCTAAGCTTAAGTAACCCTGGTTGAATATGTTTACTTACAAGGTTTTGGACAATAATTACCATAGTTCCTTTCTTTGTATTAAAACATTGATATAATACTGTATACTGTGAGAAATGTGGCCATGACAACTGTATGATTATTTTTGCAAATGTGCTCACACCAATATAGAGATTGTTTTTCTCTTGCGTTAACCAGTGATAAACGCATGCATCTTAGTGAAAGTTCACCACATTGTAAACATTATGTCATATTGTTTATCTACTGTATATGTTGATCTTTACTAACCTTTTCCTTGTCCTCTTCACCCAGCCGAGTTCCACTCCCTGTGTCCTAACGGACAGGGCCTCTACTACGATGAAGGACTCATGTACAGCCTGCCTGTCTACCATGGTAGATATTATACAACTTGAGTCACTATATTAACATGCACCATGGCTACTCAGTGATTGCAAAGATATTCCTGTAAGATGTTCCTGCATTTGCACTCAAATCATTTGCTTACATTTAAAATATAATAAGTTACCAGTTTCTTATGAGATTGGGAAATTGCCCTTGTTACATTATAAAACAAACTTTGGGTAGGTTGGCATTCTGTTCTGAAGAGACTTTTCCTTGGTTCTCCGCAGATATCGACGAGTGTTTTCTGTTTGCTGATGAAATCTGCAAGAAGGGTCGCTGTGAGAACACGCAGCCTGGCTACGAGTGTTACTGTCAGCAGGGCTTCTACTATGACGGCTATCTACTTGAGTGCATTGGTAAGTGCTTAAAAACACAAAGGCCCTAATGCTGTAAAGAAATACTGTAACAAGGCTTTATAACATGTTAATGTTGTTCTGAACGGTTGCACATTCTCCCTCAGATGTAAATGAATGCCACGACGAGTCTCTGTGCAATAATGGTCACTGCGTCAACACCGAAGGGTCCTTCTACTGCAACTGTAACAGGCCCTGGACCCCAGACTCCAACAAGAAGAGCTGTGTGATAGCAACAGTAGCCGGTGAGTTAAACAGTGTCAGCCTGTATGTGGCTAGCTACTGGAGGAATTATCTTGAGCTTTGAGCAAACCTTTTCTTTCACCACAGATGTGAATGAGTGTGAGGACCCAGCCAACTGTAAGAATGGCCACTGTGTGGACACTCCAGGCTCGTACTACTGCTTCTGCGCCGTGCCGTGGACCCTGGCCACCGACCGTAACAGCTGTGTGACCCCTGAGGAGCAGGCTGGTGAGTGCAGACCCTGTGCAATGGGAGGGGGGGACAACATCAAAATGACAGTGTTGGCTGTATGTGCTTATGAAAGTCAGTGTATGTGAGACATAACTGAGTTAGTGCTTAGTGAAACACAGATGGTGAAGATCTGCTAACCTGGAAACAAACTAAACAGACAAATAAACATTTACGTACCCATGTAAGGTAAACATTGTTGCATTCAGATTGTGTACCTCTAATATAACATCTGCAAATAAAACTTTACCACTCTGTTCCAAATGACATATCTGGGTTTGCTGGTCAAACACCATGTTGTGAAAAGTAGTTGTTGTACTGTACTTGTTTCATGAAACCTGAAGCCAATGCTCTTATTTTGTGTGAGTGAAGATGATCCGGACTGATGGTGATGAGTCGCATTGGATACCAGACAGGACAGGTTGACCAAATATTTCAGGCAGGGTTTTCTTAAAACTTCTTGTGACGAAATCCTTCCTATGAAAATGAATGCCCAGAGGTTTGGGACATGACAGTTTAATTTCCTCATGATTAAAGAGAGGAACGCTGCAGGCCCTATCCTTGCTGGAGCAAATGCAGTAAGGATTAAGTATTCTGAAAAGACACATTTTAAATGGCCCTTTTGTCGGCAGTCTTTTGGGAAGTGTTTGCAAATATAGTGAACTTTTGTCCTCTTACACTTAGAACAGTAGATGTGTTTGAAATGTTCAAGGTGGGTTCTGTGTGTCCTTGTCAACTCTTTGGTTAGTCTAATTGATGGACTTCACCTGAGCCAAGGACTGGAAAGCTCTGGTTTGGTGACAGTGAAGTACCATTGTTGTAATTGCAGATGTTTACTTTAGAAGTTTGCAGCTGAGTTAGGCAAAGTTATGACACAAATCTACTTTGATACTTTGGTTCCCTCCCACAAAGGAAAGCATTACTCACTCCAAGTGACAGCGTAAAGTGTAGTTCAGCTAACTTGGAATGTTATTCATCTTATTTATTGGCTGTTATAAAGCAGACATTGTAGTTGGCTATGATGTTAAAGGCAGAAGAAACATTTTAAGAGCTGATGAATCATTCGGAGCTTCACCTATAGTCGCAAGTAGTGACTCAAGTGTGAAAATAAGCAGCCAAAGCAGGATTTCCTGACTGTTTGGCTTTAGAGGGACCTTCTTATAAAACAGCTGCATCTTGAAATTGAAAGGAGCTGCTTGAAGTGCTAGAGTTGAAAATCCTTATATATTTAGACATGACTGAAATGGAAGAGATTCAAACAATCTGACCTGTTCGTCCAGGATAATTCCTGAAAACACATAGTATGAATGTCTCTGTTCTCCCTGGTTAAAACCACGACATGACCCAAATGACTAGTAATGTGTGAGTGGATAGACCCTATGAGCTTTAAACCAACTTACGTGGACACATGCTTAATTTTAGGGACCGCTTTGTCAACTCAAAAAATGATGAGAACTTCGCTCTCATCATAAACCCTTATGCTGAAGATGGATTCATGTTCGTCAAAGATTTGCAAACCCAGTCCAACCAATTGTTTCAGATTGATATGTTTCAGGGGTGGAACCAATGTGAATATGGCTTATTCTGTAATTGCCTGGATTTATAACGGTTATAAAAGAGTTGGAAAACCCAGTAATGGTTTCTGAATATGTAGTAGACACTCATTATTCAGGATTTCAATCCTTCATGACGCATTACTGCAATGAATGCTGCTTCCTAAAATGTTCCACTTTTGTTGACGTTGTGTCGGAGTTTATTCAAGTCTGAAGTTTAATTAACATATTGAATTACAGTAAACTTTACAAAGGGAGTGTTTATTACAGGTTTATTGTACTGATAAGTGAATGTCATTATGTAGCACAAGTTTTTCTTTTTATTATTATTGTGTCCACCACCTACAGACAAAGAGCTGGCCCCAAGCAGATGTTCATACTGTAACCAGTGTCTGTGGTGCTCTTTGCAGATGTGAATGAGTGCCAGGACCCCTCGTACTGTAAGAATGGGAGGTGTGAGAACACGCCCGGCTCCTTTCACTGTTTTTGCGACCCTCCCCTCACCTTCAGTGCAGCGCTGAAACAGTGCGTCTATGACGGTGGGTAAAATCAGCATCGGCTCCCCTGAGCATGACCAATCAAAATGAGTTTTGGCTTACCTTGACATCTGCCACTCGTGTTGCTCTTTGTAATTCCTCCCAGTTTGTGTCCCATCTGGCCTCTAATGGCTTTATTTTCTCCCTCTTACCAACTTTATTGTGACAGTTTCCCAATCTTTGGAAAAATAGCACACTGTGTAGTTATTAGATATACATATCGATGTTACCCTTTCATGCACACAAAGCATTATCTGAGCATGTTTAGTTTGAGTAAAAGTGATTGCTTTAGGCATTTTTTTCTGCATGTCTTTGTTTCCCAAAAGCTATTTGTGTCTGTGCTGTTAAAGATGACAAACTAATTTCTTCTGTTAGTGAAAAGACAGACTATTGTGATCATTCTGCATCATGATTCACAGTACTTTAAGGCTGTTTGAGTGTGACGCTTTGTAACCAGCAGACCAAAATGACTTTAAACACGCTATTTTAAACACAATATTATACGCTATAATGCATACTGAACTATAAACAAAGAGCTCTTTGCTTAATGAGAGTGAACTGTCAGCTTATCCTCATCATCCATGCTGCCACTAAATCACATTTATCTGAAACTCATTGATGCATGCCTGTGATTTTTCATTGTAATTTGCATAGTTTTGTATTTTACTTAGGTAACTATAACATTTTCCCCTAGATTTTATTAATGAATAGTTTAATTGTGTGAAAGAACTCCATAATGTACAAACCAAATTAAATAGGTTTAGTAAGCCATTTATTTTCCTGTATCTATTACTAACCGAGGACATCTGCTGTATGCCATGCTTGCTAAAAGTAATGGCTTGAGGCTATACAGGAAACCACTGTATTAGATTTTCTCCTGACCTCTCTTACCCCAAATATATTGAGTCTGTGTACAGAAATTGTATATTTATGACTTTATGCCCTTACTTTACTTTAAAATAAACTCAGATTTACAGATTTTTTGTCCAAAAAATATGAACTGATGTACTAATTTTCCTTCAAGCCAAATAGTTTTTTAAAAGTATGTTTTAAATATTTATTATGGCATTCCAAATACAGAATACACCTGCAATAAAACGTAATCCTAAAAGTTACATACTTTTAAAATGTTTCTCTGTTGACATCTTCCACCGACTTGCATACAGCTGTTTTACTTCTTTTTTTTACTGATAATAATCTTAGATTTCAGAGTTCGCTGAACATGTCTTCCTGTGTAAAGAGCTTTTATGAAGATCTCAAAGTGCCTGAATTCTTCTTATGTCACTTTTTAATTGTTGAACTACAGTTTGTTTTTTTCATCCTCGTTTCTTACCCAGATCGCACTGCAGCCCACAAGGACGTGTGTTTCCTGCAGGTGGACGAGGGCCTGATCTGCAGCGAGCCCAGGAACGGCCTGGTGGTGACCTACTCCGAGTGCTGCTGTCACTACGGGCGCGGCTGGGGGCCCGAGTGCAACACCTGTCCCCCCAGAAACTCAGGTAACAGAACCAGACCCCATATGCAGCTCAGCTTTCAAGTTAGAAGTTTCAAGGCTTTATTGTCATATGCACATTATCTACAGTGTAGATATGGCAATGAAAAACTTAAATCACAGGCTCCTCCAACAGTGCAACATGAATATTTATAGGACATAGAACAAATAAAACAGATAAAATAGTGCAAGAGAATGTTTTGAGATGTGCAAGTAAATACAAATACAATTGAAATAGTGCAAGAAGAGTCTATATACAAATAAATGGAATATTAGATAAATAATTAGCAAGATGCAAACAGATGGATGTTCTTTAAAAAGTTCAGGTGTTTATGTTAAAGTCTTATGTCCTGTGGAATGAGTCTGGTGGTTTTCATTACCAGCTTCTGCTTTCCCTTTCTTTTTACCTGAAAATACATTTACTTCTTGTGTTCAGAGATGTTCAGTCGTCTGTGTGAGATGCATCTGGAGACCGAGTCTGATGGGGAGCAGGATTTCCTGGCAGCTTTCGCAAACTATAACCCAGGTAACACCATCTTTGTTCATATCCAATCATATTTCGGACACTCTTGTGTTTTTCCCCCCAACTAAACATTTTTTCTCTCCCTACCTTTCCCCTGCCTGTTTGTATGTAAAAGGTGACAGTTCAGAGGAGGATTCGGACGAATGCAGCTGTGCAAATGGCCGCTGTGTGCGCTCCTACCTCGGCACCATGTGTGAATGTAACACAGGCTTTAGGCTGGACCACTCCCGCACCCGCTGCACAGGTTTGCACAAAAAATGCTTCAAAATACTTCAATAATTCATTTCTTAGGTATATGCAGTTGTCAATAAAGGTATATGGAAAGATTAATGTGTGTATTTGATAACGTTGTGTTTTGCACTGTTAAGAAATGTTTGATCTCTTTCTGCAGCTTACACTCATTGAAAACTGTTTTCCTTTCAGACATCGATGAGTGTGCAGGAGTCAATCCATGCAAGAACGCTCGCTGCGTGAACAACGCCGGCTCATACAAGTGCTACTGCAAAAACGGCTTTGTGGCCACGCGCAGGCCGAACACATGCGTCCGACGCAGAATTCGGTAACCTCCGTGTGTCCCTCCGATCATCCATATCTAGTATGCAATGCACACAAAAACACATGCTGCACACACAAACACACATCTGTCTCACCGTACGAACATGGCGGAGCATGAAAAGGCAGTTAACCCGAAAACATGAATTCTCATCAGGAGCCAAATCATAGCAATATGAAATGTTCAAAACATTGTCAGCTCCTCTTTCTGCCCTCATTTCACATTTAAAGAAGCAATCAATACAGACAAGGAATATCTTATTATATATTTGTTTGTTTGTTAAACTTTTTGTAATTATTGTTTTTGAACTGTACTTGGTAAGTTTAAATTGTGATTTTGTTGTTGTTTTGTTTTCATTTATCTCCTTGTTACATTCATTTGTTATTCCTTATTTGAATATCAGATCTCAAGCCCTCTTCTGTTTTTACTTTTAAATAATCTGGTATTCCGGTTCTCTACTTTTGCCCATTTAATATTTACAATTACAGAGAAGCCATGAGAACATTTACATGTGACTGTATTCCCCTTTACATTCCCTTTTAAGTCTGCTTTCTTTTTATGTTAAAATCTAAATGTATGTCAGCTGATATTGTATTTTCTAAACCACACATTGTTGATTTTGTGTTTTTGTACAGTTTGTCTGATGGATCAACAGCTTCTATAAGAATGGTCCCTGTCCTAGCCCTGTTTATTTGTTGATGTAAAATATGAGAAACCTGAAGTTTTTGTATAATTTGACGTGCGCACCTAAGTGACTTTGAGCTAGAAAATAAATGTCATGCACTTAGCAATGAACATGGTGGGAATATTTGCTAAATGTAGCTTATTCCAGAAAAACAAGAACGTTTGACATCTTTTGTCAGAGTATGAAATATTTAGAAATCCAAAGACGCTTTTGAGATGAGTAGAATTTGATTAAAAAAGAAGAATCTGTCATGCATTTGTTTTTTATTATGGGATGTTTTGTGTTTTCAAAAAATATAAAACCTGAGCAAACTGACATTTACATAAGGACAGCTTAAGGAGTATGGGAGACTGCACTGTGGATCTTTCAGTGCTGCATTTTAAGCACGCCTAGAAAGTAAATAAACCCGGCACATGGAGGGTTTTCAGTGTTCTGTTGGCTTTACTCTCTTGCTTGTTACTTCAATGTACAGATCTGTAACTTTTTATAAACTGAATTAATTTAACAAACGTTGTTGCAAGCATGCCGTCTTAATAAGTGTTATTTTGCTTCTTCAAATATATCCTGAACCACAGCATTGTAGTGGTGTTTACATAAGACATTTTGCAGCATAAAAAGGGGGAGGATTCAATTATCAAGTATGCAAAGGGTCAACATTTGCTGTTCCTTCAGTGCTGCATATTCTTATTTGTAGGATATATTCATACTAATGAGTGCTTACAAATAGTTGATTTTAACTCTAGAGCACATGGCTAAACTGTGATTTTCTTGATTCCGAAATATTGGTACTTTTTTACTAAGATATTTAGGATCAACAAGTCTTACTAACTAACTGATTTAGCCCATGGCAGACACACAAGTCTAAAAGTATACTTTAGATAGATAGATAATGAGTAATGGTGTTTTCTTTATCTTAAGTTGTCCAACACAGCTGAAGTTGTCCTTATTGGTCCATTGGATCAAGTTAGATTCACATTTCCTTGCTTTAACAAGACTGTATTGTTAAATTGTCTGAATGATCTTAATGTCTTTTTAGCAAAGTCCTATATCCATGCCAGCTTACTATTCATTTATACTTATCTCACCTAATCTCAGTGTGCTTTTGACTGCATCCACATGTGGAGAAGTGAAGCATGGAGTGTGTTCGATCGATCTAACTTCCTAAATCAAACCCGAAATATGCTTTTAATTTGACTTCATCAGTCAAAAAAAAAAAAGTTCAAGCCTAGACATGTCAACAGTAACAATATGAATACGTTTGGTTTGGTCAACTTAAAAGTAAATGATAAAAGATTACTGATGCTGAATATGGGAGGGTAGAAAGGCCACAGAGGACATCAGCTACCTGAAGAACAGCACCATCTTGTGAACGTTTGTTACTGTAATTCCCACCAGAAGCCTCAGTAAACACAAGCTGCTGTGTTCAGCTTTGTGGAAGCTATAAAACCCATCTCTCCAAAGTTAGCAGATATTTCTAACCCCTGCACAAGGAGGGCCGGAAAAAATCTTAAGAAATACTTTTTAAGAATTTATGTTTTAATGTAATCTTCTACAGTTATGTTTATAATTGAAAACATCATTATATCCAGTCAATTTCTTAATGAATTGATTTTCCACAATAGGTTCCCCTATGCCACACGTTATGTCATTATGGGCATTTGGATGTCGGAGCTAGGCAATAATCTAGGTTATTTTTCCTGTGAATGTTGCCTAGATTGTTTAAAAATACTAACGCAATGTTTTTTAAATTGTCCTTGATTGACATAACAATTTATAAAGCCATCACTTCTATGCAAATCAATGACTCAATTCACCATTGGGTGTCTTTATCACAAATTGTAATTTGTGTTATGCACACCACACTACAAATCAAAATGTGTCCTTTTCCACCTTTCCTCTTACTCTCCAGTTTCCAACTTTATCTGGTGATTTAGTTACAGTTTAAACTAGTTTCGGGTCAACAAATTAAAAGTAGGCCATATAAAGGCAGACACCTGCAATAACAGAGGAGGCTACACTCCTGCTCAGACATGAGTCACAACACCACTGAGGCATTTTTCAGTTTCTCCCTGAGCTGTGACTTTTTCATTCAGATATTTCATTTTGGGTCAAACTAAAAAGGTATTGTTCTTCACACATTATATCATATTTTGATATGTGTTGTCTATGGAGTGAACATCACAACATATGTGTGCATTGCCCTTACTATCTATAGGTTTTACACCTGCTTTCTGAGTGAAATTGTATTACAGAAGTCCAAAACGAACTTGTACAGCTCAACCTTAATAGTACTGTGACATTGCACAACTACACAGTGTCGTCCTCTTATCACTTATACTTCCCTTTTATTTCTTAAATGTTTTCAGTGAAAGGCAGGCAGTTAATGTTCATATTTTTTAAAGATTAAAAACCAAATCTGAAGACTCATTAAGAAGAATATTTTCTACATAGTGTTCCACCTAGACACTATGCATGCATCATTCATAAAACAACAGAGCGTAAAACCTTTTAATTGCCTCTTTTTGCAGCCCGTTGGAGCATGCATGAGATTAGAGGGAAAACGTCAATGAGGAGGATGCACATTGCTTCCAGCAAGCTTGTTCTTATGGAGACATTAGAGGTGTGAACACAGACCATTTATCAAGTACAAACAAACCTGATGCGCTCAATTACAATTCCTTCTACTCAAAGCTGTGTCAAAAAATCTCTCCCAAAATGTAAAAACTTCATATTTTATTTGTTTAGATTTCTTTATATCGATTTTTCTGACCAACATGTAAGCGAAACTGTAGTCCTCTTGTAGATTGTATCATATTTGTTTCCACACATTATATTTGGCATGTCATAAACAGATATGACCATTTATAAAAAGCGGGGCAACAAGTGATCCTCCACTAGAGGGAGCTGCTTGAGTATACATTACTGATTATGCTTTCCATCAGTTTAACTCGGTCCTCACCGTCATTATGTCTGTGCCATGGTGTAGTCAGTTCAGGTTGCGAATGATAAGGGTTATATATCTGAGGTTTGTGCACAGATAAATCTCATTGATACAGTGTCAATATATTGGTCAACATACAGAATGCTACTGCTCCTGTATTATAATACATGCATCATTACTACTAATTGTTCTTTATTTCAACCTAAAGGAAACTATTTTTTATCAATCAATTAATACAATTAAACCCCCAGCTTTAACAGATTACATATACTGTACACTGCTGCAGTTCCTTTTTGTAGATCTAGCAAAAGCTAACGGTGACTTGTTGCCATATCTACTGTACATGGTCAAAGTAAAAAACGGAATACTATTTAGATAATGTATGAAGTCATGAAGTCATAAGGCATTATCCCCATGCTGTGTTAAATAACTGCATTGTGCAATGGGCAAAAGAAGATAAAAACAACCAACAAACACAGTTTCAATATGAAGATATAAACCTTTTTGAAATTAAAGTATTTTATACTTCTGGGCATAATAATCAAAATGGGTCTGAATCTGAATGCTTTCACGAAACAAGCTCTCAGGCTGATGTTATAAACATTACAGTTAAAGAAGCAAAAAGTTATTAATTACTATTATTTTAAATGAGCATATGTTTCATTCTCTTGTGTACAGGAGCTACTGTATGTGGATTGACTACCACACACCTGTTGTTTCTTCAAGTGCTCTCAAGCAACATGTAGATGAAACCAGGTTGTGATCATGTGATCCATGTTGCATGCATGTGAAACATCTTGTCTGCTGATTTGCACGCCCAGAAATGGGTGCAATAACTCACAAAGCTGTTTGTCCCCCTTTATAGATTATCCTGTGAGCTCAGAGAGTCACGTTGCACCGTAGTGGCACCACAGCTCCTCACTGTCCTGGTTTCATTCCGTCAAATTATTATATCATTTCAAACTGGAACAGCAGGGTGACCTCCAGCAACTAGTTTAGGGAGAAAGAGAGATAAGAAAAGGGACAGAGAGAGAGGGAGGATGAGCAAGAACCTGGACAGAAATAGCATATGTGTCCTTGGGAGATGACTCAAAAAAGTAGTTGGGAGGATATAAATATCTTTTAGTAGGTCGCATTGACCGAACTATAACCCATAGGTACCGGTGGCTGCAGACTGCAGCTACCAAACTTTCTTCTTTGTTGCTCAAATACAGCTTTAGGTGGCTCAAAGTTGAGGGACAAACACTTTACATTGCAAGATAAGGATAATTCACATCTAACAATTTAAATTGAGTCTTGTAGTCACTTCATTTAGGTCCAGTTCAGACATGAATTTCTCTGTCATTGCAATGGTCGATTTATTCAAAGTGTGTAAATAAATTAGGCGGGCTGTTGAATTTAGTAAATTAAGTAATTTTCTTGCTTTTCTCCTTTTGTCTTTCAGCTTCGGAGGTTTTTTTGTGGGATACAAATTCCTGGAACAAAAGAGCAGATAAAACAGGGAATTTCTAACATGCATTTTCAGATGTATGAGCAGATAAAGTGTTACAAACCATTTGAACAATGAGCCAAACATGTGTTGTGTTAACAAGGAAATATTTCCATGCCTGGCCAAATTTGGAGAAGGAATTGCTATCAGAGCATCGGAGGTGTTGCTAATAAGGAAACAAACCCAGCGGGACAGCCATATAGGGAGGAAGCACATCTATTCAAATAAAGCACCATTTAAAGGTGGAAAGTACTCATTGAAACAGGAGTCAGATATAAAGCAATCTACTTAGTGGTGATAAGTATCTTTAAAGTATAGTAAACCTTTTAGGGCTGCAACATTAAGCCACAGGAGGTATGTTGATGGTGTATTATGCTTGTTTCAGTTTGTGTCCGTCCGTGCCTCAGACAGTTATTGGGATCAGCATGGAGACCCCCTCCATTGCCCCAAGATTGGTCTCATGTGATTCAGACTTAAGGCTGGGAATATCAGTCACATTGTGCTGGAGGGGAAAAATAATAGAGTTCATGTCCACCCGGCTGTGAAGCTATACAGTCACATCAACTTTACCAAACACAAGCCCCCCAACTCCACCCTGGTCACTGAACACACTAATAATGACCCCACCCACCCAGGTCCCGTCTATAGTGAGCAGACAGAGAGGGGGTTTAGCTCAAACTGCTGCAATCTGCAGAAAGCACTGTGCTGGACACACTCTGGCAGCCAGTGGCAGCCTTATATCCTGCACTCAGCTCTTTCCCTTTGTCACGGTGGATTGTGGATGAGCTCTCTGCTGGGTGAGGGTCTGTGAGCAGGGGTGGGGTCTGGGGCCGGGGGCGTAAACAGGTTGTGTGTGGCTGCACAGCGCAAAGTGATTTTTAAAGGCCTGGAGGCTTTCTTTTTAGCCTTAAACACTACTGTACAGCTTTGCAGTCAGCCATGTGTATTTTACACTTTATCCTTCAATCATTTTAATGAGGTTTTTTTTCAATTTTACAATGAGAGGTGTTACCAGACATTCATGTCAATGTACTGTAATGTTATTTCAAAAATATGAACTTGTATTTACATGATA